GCGGGGGCGCGCGCGGGAGGGGCGGGGGCGTGCCCTCGCTCGCGCCCGGCGGGAGTGGAGCCGCCTCGGGAGGAGGCGCGGGCGGCTCCCGCTCCCGCTCCCGCTCCCGCTCCCTTTCATTGGCCCGGGAGCCGCCCTCGTGCAGCCCGCTGCGCGCAGCAGCCCCGGGCGCAGGAGGCCGGCGGAGGCAGGCACGCCCACCTCGCCGCGCGGCCTCCGCGCCCCTCCCGGGAGACGCGGCCGCTCCGGGCGGGCGACGCGCGCTCCGGCGGGGGTGAGCGCGGCGACCGCCTGCCTCGGCCCCTTCCCCGGGAGGCGGGCGGGGCGGCCCCCGCCGCGCTCCCGGCTGCCCTCGCCGTCAGGTGTGGCGCGCCGCGCACCTGCGCCCCCGGGCAGGGCTTTCGGCGCAGCATCCGCAGGGGTCAGCGGGCAGGGCCGCCGGGCAAGCTGGCGAGAGGACCCTTCCTCTGCTGCGCCGCGCCTGGGCTTGGCGCAAGAGGCGCATGACAGGCTTGACGTAGGGCCGTGCGGTTGGGGGGGGGGGTCCCGTCTCTCCTGGGCCTTGGCCTCTCGTTGCAGCCTTGCCTCCCTCCTCAGGCCAGCCAGGCTCTCGTTAGCAGCGCGTCAGCCCGAGGGGGGTGATGACTTGATCCTGTTGGCCTTGGCAACGTCAGAAGTGAATATCCTGCTCTGCGATGAAGGCACTTGTTACAGAAAGACTTGAGCTTGAAAGGTTGCTGCCAGTCTCTTGTTTGCAAGCGCAGCTGCTCCACGGCAGAGTGACTGAAATGGGAGTTTGGTGCCAAGCGCATGAAGCTTAATGAACTTGGTTAAATCATAAAGTAGCTGCTTGGCACTGCTCTCTTTTATTCAGATTCTTGTCCAAATTCCTGCAAAGATCTCTTCAAAATCTGGTCTTCCTGAACATGAGTTTCTGCACAGACAGTGATCCTGTGCCAACCACTAGTTGGGCTATCCACAAAGTGGTATTTATTGCATAATCAGCAGACTTTCCAGGTATTTAAAGCTTTGCTACTATATCTTTAAGTAAGGAGAGAGCAATGAAATGTTTTCATGAGACTTTGCGTGCACAAATCCCTTGAGGGGGGCAGAGATGTTTTAATCTAGTGTAAAATCAAGGAGGGGCAAAAATTAACTTCTCTGGGCCCAAAATAACCTTTCAATAAAAAGGAATTTTGCTCCCATCCAGTGTGAACTTTAATACTCAGAGTCAGGGCTGTGTGGTAAATCCCCAGATCTTTCTTGTAGTACTGTAGTTGCTAGTGTTCTCTAGGAGTTTTTGTTCAGGCTGGGGGCTGGCTTAGCACGTTGCTATGCAACCTATCCCCAAAACTCTCCCCTTGATAATGCTTATGGGTTGGAGATACAGTATTTGGAAAGTAATTGTGACTGCCTTCCCTAATGCTTAGTGTCAGAATTGTTCCTTCCTCCCTTATGATGCTGTGGGTGAGAAAGAGGCAGCTCCCCCCCCCCAGTTCCAAGTTCTTGTGAACACAAACTTCTTATCTTGTGATAAAGCATTTATCATAGATGACGACCGTACTTTTTGTCATAGTGCTGCTTTCTGTAGGTGTCAGTTCAAGAATCCTCTTCAGTTTTATTGTTTCTGTAAATTTTCATTTTCTTGTACTACAAGAATGTACAAGAAATTCATCTGGATGAATATGTTATCATTCAGACAGGTGGCAAAGACCCAGAAAAGGCCTAGGGGTAGAAGTCTGGGCAATTGAATGAGCATCTGAAGTGTTTTTGCTGCTTTACCTGTTTCATTTGCAATATCCGAGGTGGACAATTGGTGACTCTCCAGATGATTTGGCCTAGAATTCCCATCAGCCCTAGCCAGTGTAACCTATGGTGAGGAACGATGGGAGTTGCAAGTGAAAATGTTTAGAGGTCTCAAGTGGGCCACCCTAATTAGGGTGTGTGTTGCCTGGCTTCCTAGAGATTTGGGGTACAGTCTCACACATGTTAAACTCAGAGGAGCTATTCTTAAATAATTGATTTGAGAAGTGCAGACTTCATGCCTGCAGTAAGTAACTCGTCATTGTGGACTT